AGAATAGAATAAGAAAACGTTTAATAACATTCAAAACTATATTTAATCTAATGAGAATTCGACTCTTATTTCTACTTCATTAAAGACATCGAAGTCTGAGAAAACTTTATTAACAGAAAACGATGGTCTTTAAATACTTTTTCTTATTCTATAACGACTGTTATACATCTTATAATGTTTTCTATTTCTACCCCTTACTTCCTACTAATACCCGCTACTACCCTTTTCTTTACTCACAATTGTTCCCTTCTGACTTACAACTACGCACACTTGTTGGCAGCTGCTAACAATTGTTCACGACTCCTCACAATTACTCACAATTGTTGACAGCCGTTTACAATTGTTCACGACCCCTCACAATTACTCACAATTGTTGACAACCGTTAATTAACATAAACAAAATAAATAATACAAGGATAAAATAAATAAATAAATAAATAAAATATCGAAGCCCTATTTCCTACGTCACGAAACCCGTGACAATAGTTTATGTAGTAAATTGATTTTACTCCGGCGGGACTCGCTTAAGATTTTGAATCTACATAGAAGGTTCATGTATGACAACTTGATAAACTCATTATTTGAAAAAATAGTATATCTTTTTCACGAGTTCCGCCAATGTCGAAATTAATTGCGATCGTCATAAACTCTTTCTGCTAAAATTTCCCTTAGTTTTCCTAAAATTCCTAAAAATGGACATCAGTAAACCCCTCAAGTCCTCCGAAAATTTTAATTCTTTTGAAAATTCACGTGATTCAGTTTCATCCTCCGGTTCAGAAGATTTTATCCTTTCCATAGGTTCGCACGGTTATTTTCTTAATAACGGTTCCTCTGCGAACTGTTTTTGTGATCAATGTAGTGGCCGTCGTATTCCGCTTTACACTTGTAAGGGTGAGAGTTGTAGGTTAAGTGTCCTCCTCATGCTAGAAAATGTTCCGAATGTGCTGGTCACAATTATTCGGCTAGGCATAGAACTAATCAAAAATATTATTATAGTCGAAAATCTCGCATAAATTCTGAGAGTTCTATTTCTTTTGAAAAGTCTTTAATAAATGAGTCATCTGATTCTGTCGTTGATAAGGATTTACCAGAAATCTGGAGTAATGCTTGTTCAGAAGCTCTTGAGAATTTTCCATAATGTCACTATTTTTTATATCATGAATTTTTGTCAAATTTGTGGGGGACCCTTGTTCGATTTTTTTTATTTTTCGTGTAACCATTGTTAACTTTTATGGGATAACGGTACTACATGAATACGTATGTACGTACAGTACGTAAGCTACCTGCTACGTTAATCAATTTATGAATCCTCTTAACATAAAAATTTAAGTTATGAAATTTTAAGTTATTCTTTTTGTCAAACATTTATTTCTATTCACTATATCGATAGTATATTCCTACTCCTATTTTCACATTATAAACTAAAATGTTGGATTATTTATATCTCCCTTAAAACAGCGTTTGTGTCAGTCATATGCTTCGTGCATGTTGATAACTTTATTTTTGACAAGCTTCAAACTCCTCTTATTAAGTATCTTAACGGTATAAATTTGTCCATGTTATGGAAAGTACTGTATAATCAATTTGTGAAATAAGATTGTTTAAAGATTTTTGCTAAAATTTGGCATTGAGATAGAGAATATTTACAAAATATAATAATTAATAAAATACATGATATTGATATTTCGCAATTATTAATACGTTCGCTTTGGTAATTACTTAATTTTCATAAAATTCTGTTACAGCTTGAGTGTTTCTACAATCCGAAATAAACTATGAATCTATCCTTTAAACATCCTGCAAGCAATTCGCATGCAAATAATTATGTATTACGAATGATTTGTGATATATAAAGAGGATCATACTTGTAAGTACGTTAGATGATCGACTATTGATGATGTCGAGGTTATTGCATGTATCAAGTATTTCGGCATTAATATTAGCAATCGATATAATATTTTTGCAATTTAATGATACTGAAATTTTTTTTTTAATAAAAAGATAAGTTTTTGTATTGTAACGTATGTAAGATACTTTCGCAATTTTCAAATGATAAAGGTAACCATCATAAAATTTGTTTTTACTTTTAATTTCCGACTTGCTCTAATTCCTTTCAACTATGGATTCTGTTGACCGAGCCATTCTTTAATTTTCACCGATTAAAGAATAAATTAGGTCGACATTAATGATATCAAACTAATTATAATTCAAGTTCATCAAAAAACTTTAGTTAATTTTATACTTTACGTTTAGAAAAAGCAAAATAAAGTTCACCAATATCTTCATATCGTGTTCATATCAAGTTACAAACCTTCAAGCTCATTAAAATTGCTTTAATATTATCTTTACATCATTAAGCTTATAAAAAAAAAAAAAGTTTATCCAATATCTTACTATGATCGGACTGCCAAATAACTTTGGTTATTGGATGCTTCTCATCCAATAACTATATATTATTTATTCAAAATATTTTAAATAACTTTTCCAATATTATTTCTAGAGTTCGTTATAGAGGTTTGTTATATAGAGTCGGTTATCTATAAAAAAGTTTAAAGATAAATCATGAGCCTATTAAATAGTTAAAAAAAAAATTTCATTAAATAAAAATACATAAATCTGTTAATTCTTTTTTTTTTTATTTAGCAAAAACAATAATAAAAGGTTCATTAAATAATCTTAAACATGTTCCAAAATTTAATATAAAAGAATAAGTGGATTACCGATTGCAGAACATGTACATCGATTCGAAAATGATCTTTTTTCGCGTAAATATGATCCAATCGACTTATTTAACCCAATTAAATTAATTATCACAGTGGACAAGTACTTTTATAATCGATATCCATATAAAGTTGTATACATACTAACCAACCTAAATTTATTATGCATATTTGTATATTATGCGCTTTTTTTAAAAAAAAAACATTTTTATACATATATGTATACAATACGCTTTTCCTTCTCTATTTGTCTATGCAACGTTTTAATATATACAACACCGATAAAAAAGAGATAATTGTTTTGTGTATTTTGTCGATAAATACTACTTGTTCCCGGCTTAATTGGCAGTGCTTGAAAAGTATGGTACGGAATAGAATATATATGTTGTGCGTTGTTTATTGATTCTTGTCGATTCGGAATCAACAGGTGTCATTTTTGAATCAATAAATAACT